CCCCTCCTTGTAGAGGCTTTCACACGCAGCGTGGCTTGTCGAGCGAGTATAGACGGGTCGTCGTACGGAGATTCAGTACGGTGTAGGGCTGTGGTGATGACTTGCAGATGTGCTCCGCGGCGTCGCTTAGCAAGCGAAGGTTGATGTGTGTTGCCGATTTGTACTGTCGCGTGCGTTTTGTATACGTGCCTGGTCTTCGATGAGCTCAGCGTACGTGGGAGTTGGAACTTTGCCGCGGAGCGCCTGTAGGCTGGGGATGTTGGGTTTGGGGAAAAGAAGGGCGACAGGATTTGGCGAATGGATTGGTAGAGATGTACATGTCGGGGTATCTGCACGGTGATTTGCAGTATGTGGTTGTTGCTCTTAGCTATATGTATAGGGAGTAAGACTACAGGAGAGCTTCTAATATACTCTTTTACACCACTTACCCAAATCCTCTTGATAGATACTATCTAGTTTGTTTGCAACAATCCATTTGTGTTCTCAAAGCTTCTGCAATTCGTATAATCTGCTAGTAGTGCTTAAGACCTGTAGTTTGAGTATAGGATTTCCTCGGAAAAAGATCCACGGTTCCAAAAGAAGGAAAGGTCTTGCGTTCTTCGCAACTGCTCTGAACATCTTTATCCTACTACTTATCCGCACTTATATACACACCCACATGTGTACGCCTAGTTGCCGCGCTATCTACAATATCATCCCCCGAATAGCGAAGACAAGACGGAGGAGAAACCACAAAGTGAAAGAGAGAGCAAAGTCGTAGCGCTCAATCAGAACTAGGGCAAATGCGCGAGTCGCGAGACTTAGCTCTCGTATCTTGTAGAGGGACTAACAATGCACACGGACATGAACTAACCTTGGAACCTAAGGAGAACTTACCGCGTCTCAGAGCGAGTCGCTCATTACTCTTGTTATTCTCCCGCGTCCACAGCATGTAGAGCAATTCAAGAAAGCGAAACGTAGCTACTTTAGTACAGGGTAGCTTGATAAAGTGCTACAAAAAGGCATAGAGAGATATTTGAGCGATCAGACGTGCGAACATCTTCTTAGTAACATGTAGCGCTTTTCGTTAATACAATAGTAGCTTGGCAAGATTATGAAGCGAGAACATGTCTTACTTTGTTGTCAGCTACGATTAAACATTTTTGGGTAGGGCAAGGAAGACATAGATGATCCTACATGTTTAAGCAAAATAATGAAGGTTAATCTCTTGCAGGAACTACGTAATGTCTAGAGAAACATTGTACCGAAGTATATGCGATATCCTATCATTTGCGAGAGAGAGAGGATAAGCAAAAGTGCTACAAACTACAGTACGACAGGCCCGAGCCTAATATCGCAGTATACAACCTCTATCTCTCTATCCTCTTACTAAAACTGCAAGCAAGGCCTTATCTAAACCTAGCAGAACCGCAAGACTTCCTACTCTTCTCCCTCCTTTTTCTCTAACCTATCCTCTACCTCCTAATATGCAGTATTATTCTCTACCGGCCTAACACCGTAGTTACATCTCTTCCTCCTGATTTTTCCGCTCCTCTGTAAGACCTTTACCGCCCTCTTAATCTTTTCTTCTTCTCAAATCCAAGCCCGTCAACACACATCCCCTCCACCCAGTCATCCCACCACCTTATCTACACCCAGCACACTCCACAAGCGCACACAATCTAGTAGCCATCGCGCGCCCCGACTCCATCAAGCCTCCCGTATAGCTTCTTGCTTAAGATAAGAAGATAGTGCTTCATCCTCTAACTTTCCAAGTGATATGTTGGAGAGTAAACTTCCACTTCACCCAACAGTATTACGACAACGCAGAGCGAAACAAGTCACTCACGACTTCCCTAGTATCGAAGATCTAGACGGAGAGACGGGACACTTTCGCAGATACGAGAAGTCGCAGGTGGTGATTTACTGGGGAGTAGAAGACTAGGCATTAAGCTAGAAGTAGGGTATTTATACCATAGATCAACGTAGTGTTAATGTTGCTATCCTTCCTCCTGCATGCGAGAGGAGACGGTGTAGTTCTAGCAACAGAAGACTGGTAAACAACTTGGTGTTACAGTGTAAGCTCCACTTCGTAGGCTTCTCGAGGTCGTATGGGATGTTTTCTGCAACGCATAGTTCGGCTAGGGATGTTGTACATACTAGTTCTGAGATTGCATGCGGATAAGGAAGAAGATCGATAATAGGACTAGCACGGCACGAGCAAAACGAAAAGCGTGACTACTCTGTAACAGTTAGTAAAGACAACAGAATAATCATAAGAGATAATTAAGATTAATCACGCCGCTCTAACAATAAACATACTAGAAGCTGCTCGTTAGTAGTTGCCTTCTCAAACCTGTCGGTGTATGTAGCTTAAAATGCACTCAGATCTAGTCGTTAAACTGGCGTGAGAGGAAGAAAATGGAGTCTAGCGGGTGTTAATTGGCAGTTCTCAATACACTAGTCCAGTGCTGTCTGGCAGGACTAACGTATGAGGTAGCGAACAGGCTTGAGGGCCCGGGTGAAATACCTTGGTGACGATGGCGAAGATGATGTTATCGTCCAGTTGTTTATCCAGAGGAATGCAAGTGTCCGCTTGATGACCGAAAGAGGGAAGAAGTTTGTCCGTACACGTTGTACCCGTCACTAGGAACATTGAGCAAAGGAATATATGGTATCTTTATCAAAGCAGTGTAAAGTTCGTAGTAATGCGATGTCGTTTGGGAGTAGATCCCCGATAAGAAAGAGCTTCTCGGTATGAATATAACCCTAACAGCCATCTACAGCTGTCAAATGCGACGTTAAGCATGAACCATATGCATTACAATCTGGCAGATTGAATCTGAACGCCTGGTGGAGCCACGAAACCAGACCCATTCCACCCACATCGAACAAACAAGTCCACGTGCCATATATGCAGCGCACTATCGCACACGTACGGGCGTTGAGGCAACTGAGAGCACGCGTTGGTGTAACCCAATTTCAACGTCCATGCGTAACGCATGCCGTGTTGCCAGAAAGGCTGTCCAGGCGGTACGTCATTGACCACGTACGTTTGGCCGTTCCAGACATACTAAAATCCTAGACTGAAAAACGCATCTCGCGTCGTTTGGAACCCGGGAGCAGTGTCGAAAGTTACCGCTGCAGAGCGGCAAGCATCCAGCTGCGCAGGAGTGAAAAACCATGCAATTCGCGCATCTTGGTAAACGCCATACGCCAAGTAAGCGCCATGCGCCTAGTATGCGCTCCTCCAGTATTTCTTCTAGTATGCGTTCTGAGGCACCTGGTAGCCGCCCATCTGCGCTTGTTGGGCCTGCGCATGTGCCTGTGCTTGAGCCTGCATCTGCATCTCCTGCTGCCGTTGTGGGAGATCGTTGAACCATGGATGTGACAGCGCGTTAGCCGCCGATATGCGCATCTCCGGCCGCAGCTGAAGCATACAGTTGAGTAGACTTAGCCCCACCTGGTCGACTTGTGGCAGTATGAGACGCAGGTCCTGGGTGTGGTATACGGGGAAGTTGTTCTTGTACTCTGGCAGCTGCGAGATGCCTGGCCATGATCGTTCAGACGGTGTGCCCATCAGCCGGAAGATTTTCTGCACTTGGTCTTCGTTGGTGGTTCCGGGGAACAGCGGCCGCCCGGTGTACATCTCGGCCATGATGCAGCCTGCTGACCATATATCGATGCTGGTGTTGTAGGTCCGGCTGCCGAGCAGCACATCGGGGGCGCGATACCACAGGGTTACGACTTCGTTGGAGAAGGTGTTGACTGGGATGCCGAAGGCGCGAGCGAGACCGAAATCGGCCAGCTTCAACTGGCCACGGTTGTTGATCAAGAGGTTCTGGGGCTTCAGGTCGCGGTGGAGGACGCGGGCTTCGTGGCAGAAGGCGATTCCCTTGAGCAGCTGGTACATGAAGGACTTGATGGTGGCGGGGTCCAGAGCACCGCGGTCGCCGCGCGAGTCCATGTACCGCTTGAGGTCCTTGTCCATGAATTCAAAGACGAGCATGAGCTTGTTCTCGGTGTGTATGACGTCGTGCAGCAGGACGATGTTCTCGTGGCGTAGTTCCTTCATGAGGGAAATCTCGCGGATAGCCGTCGAGGGCGTGCCTTCCTCCGAGTCGAGGTGGATCTCCTTGAGGGCTACGAGTTCGCCCGTCTGGCGGTTTCTGCCCTTGAAGACCTGCGCACGTTAGCACACCGTACACCCGACATGGCGCTCCTGCCTACCGTGGCATAGGTGCCCTCGCCGAGCTTCTCGAGCTGCTGGAAGGAGCTGGGGTGTCGGCGGTTGTCCATGGTAGGCACGATGGGCTGGGTGTAGCCGTCGCCGAGGTTGCGGACGCTGATGGACGAGTCGGTGCGGTGCGGGGCGACAAGCGTGCCGGCGTGGACGGGCTGGAGACTGCCCGGGGGCGCTCGCGAGGTGAACTTGGGGTCCCAGAGGATGGCCGAGGCGGTCGTGAGCTGGCTGGCGATGCGCAGAGGCGAGGGCGGCTTTGCGGGCTTGTCGGGGGCTGGGGCTGGTGACGCCGTCGTGGTGAGCGAGGGGGGTGTTGATTAAATAAAAGGGTCCAGTCGCGAGCACAGCAAGGCAGGGGATCTTCGTCGGCGCTTGGGTGGAGAATGACTGTTGCACGAGTCCACGGGTGGGATGTGAGTGGGTTTGGTGGGGCGAGAGTAGCCGCCTGCCTTTGCGCTATGCCCGCCAAACTTCTGCCTTCAGCCACGGGCTTTGTTCTTCATCAAATTGGCTGCTATTTCTGGATGCAGTCATTCAACGCACTGCTTTGGAGCATTTCTACTGGACACTACACGATTTATCGAATTCTGGCTTCTGACACGATATGTTTCTCCAGACAAGAGAATACTTGCTGCGTGAAGAGCACTTGGTATTAATGAACGATGCGCATCACTGATTGGTAAGAAGCTTGCGGGAAGTCGCAAACCAAGTAATCTATCGCAGCAACCTGGGATTCGTTGTAACTGTTCAGTGGTTCCGCCCATCATGCCCAAAGCCCCTAACTAAACAGGTACATCTGAGAAGGAACATCCATAATCTGCCATAACCCTTTCACCTTTGCCAATACTCGTAAGTCAAGATCCCGCTGTCCCAAACGATTCTTGGGGGTGTGATACTCAACGCCTGAGGAAGACTTTGCTTCCTGTGAGTTATCAGATGTTACTTCCTTTGCCTTCTCCTTCTCTCCGACCTCTGATCCGCTTGCAAGACCAGGATTCAAATCTGTGGAGTCGTCTTCCTTCTTGATATGTGTCCGTGTGGCACCGCCACTGCTCTCTTTTAGTTCAACGACCCAGCATACACTCGCGCTACGGAGCCTTGGATGCGGCAGTATTTCCCATTCTGAATTGTATGGCGTTGCCACGAGGCATGGTCCGTCTACGTCGAAGGTGGACATGAGAGTCTTTTGTCGTATCCTCTCTTTACGGTCTGACCACAAGTCTAAGGCTGTAGTGGAAGCATAAGCCACCATGGTGTGGCGGTGTTTCGATAATCCGGGCTTGCCAGCGAAAATGCGTTCGATCATCATAGTGAACATCATGCGCGAGAGTTGTTTCCGGATGATCAGTTTTTCGGGCAGGTTGTTCGCTTCTAGGATCTTTTGGTGTGCCTCCAAATCTTCTTCCAAGGTGGAGTCCGCTTGTAAGCTGCCAGGCGAGCGGTGATAGATCTGGTGATCCCGTGGAGTGTATGTTCCACACCAAAGTCGTCCGTGATGCATGATTCGGTCGATGAACCATAACTGCGCGAGGCTGGATCCGTGAGTCTCGTCGAGCTGTAAAGTGGCAAAGGGGCGCTCCATAACATCCGGGTGAGCGAAGAGAGTGTCGTCGACCTTATCTGGTAGAAAGTGGTCTGAACCCGGAGCCTGATCAGCTCGGACTGACTGCCATATGCTGTTGGCCAAGCCCTTCATCAATTCTCCTTCTTCGGATGCGGCCAGGGTGTACCTGACATAGTGGAGGATACTAAAGATGATCTGAGCAATTTTGTCACCCATTTGCGGGTCCTGTCGAACGCGTTTAGCATCAATCACTCGTTCAAAATGTATTCCAGTATGATCGAGGCCTTTCCATAGAGCTGATTCGCCTGGGATACGGCCCATATGTCGAAAGTCGCGAAGAGCTTGTGAGGCTATGCTTGGTTGATCGAGTCTTTGAATGAATGTGTTTTGGCGCGTATGAGCTTGTTCCAAGGTCTCTTCTTTCAGGCGCGGAAAATCCACGTGCCAGGATTTGTATGATTCCCAAGTATCAGCCCACACCGCTTGAATAGGTGTGAAGTCGATCTCACGATGCACTGACCATAGATACGAGTTGAAGAGCATTCCGTCAGCAGTGAACTCGCCTGCTTGTGTTGTTTGAAGCCTTGCGTTGATATAGTCGTGAACTTGGCAGTGATCGATTCGATGAGCAGTCCGGTGAAAGTCTTGGAACAGGGTCGGTGCACTTCGAGCACACGCATCTTCTTGATGGTCGCGATCCTGCGGTGGGTAAGCCTCTGGAGCTAACAGAGACAGGTCGCCATTGCTCAGTGCTAATGCCAGAATAGCTATACGTAGTGAACCGGAATTGGCGTTGACTTTTCTCGTGTCCAGCCGGAAATCATAATCGCACATATTCGCTACGATAGCAATTCTGTCGGCATTGAAGTAACATTCGCGATGCTTCAACAACGTCAGAGCACCTGCGGCATTCATCACAGGTCGTTTACCATAGAACCCATCCAGCTCAAACATTACAGTCTGAGGCACCGAGCTTCCTTTCTCGGCCCTTGGATGGAGACGATCTGCTGCTTCAAGCACGGATCGAGCTCCCGGATAAGCTTCTTTTCCTAGACTAAATCGCACATGATGGTATCCCATATGAACAGAGTCGCTTGTAAGCTTAGACTTCATTCGGTCGAGAATGCGCCAGAATCCAAGCACGTGTATGCAGACGAGCTTTGACTCAAACAACTCCTGGTCATCGTCGAGTGAGTGGTAAGGACGATTACGGCAGGTCTGCTCAAAGCGATGAGACGATCGGAACTTCAGACCTGGACTACGCCGAAAGGCTAGCATCAAGCCACTCCCAGCACAAATAGCCTCTTGAACAACCCACGCTCGGGTATACCACCGATCGTGACTAGTTCTATCGAGAAATTCAAGTATTCGCTCGCAGAAAGGCCAATCCATCATATCTTCATAGCGTCTTGGGTCATGATAGAGCAGCGCCTCGATGGCCGTGAGTTGCTCCTGCGATGTGATCTCGACGTCCAGCAAACCCACTGTGACCACAGCTCTGTTGTAAACAATGTCCATAGACTGTATTCCAAGTTCTTGTTCATTCCAGTCTTCTTTCGGGCTGTTCTCAGTCGGTTGGGGGAGACATTCTTGATCGATCCATATCATGCGAAGGCCATATGAATTGGCGAAGTCTACAGCGCGATCTAGAACGTCGTCAAGGGCACGGCTAGTTCGAACACGCCCGTCGAGGTCCCGGACCGTGTATGTTCTTGGAGTCGGGGGTTCTCCATGAGGGGGCCAGCAATATGATACTGCCGCATAGTGCCCACATAAGTCGCGCCAGTGGCGACTTTCATCATTGAACAATTCTGGGTATTCAAGCACCGGATTGACCAGACGGAATTTCATGGGCTTCCACTTGTGTGGGAACTCGGGATACGAGGCACAAACTCGGCATTTGAGCTGTTCGGAATCGTTGTGACTTTCTGGTCGTACAGCCATACCAACTCTTTTTGGAATTCGAGCTGCAGGATTACCAAGACTCAAGTTTGCCGCGTGTCGTTCCATTCCGTCTTCGTCATCGCTATCGAAACCGTTGGTTTTGGAGTCGGAATCATCGTAGACCAAAAAGCGGATACGCCTTGACGCCCAATGTCGAGCTTCGTCGCGTTCGAATTCAAGCTGGGAAATTTTCTCAATCTGCGCAAAGACCTCTGGTCCTAGAGACGTCGCAGGGGTCTTGAGGTCGTTCTCCATATTTGCTGTTTCCTTCAGATGATAGAGTTTGTTGATGACAATCGTACTTGGGACCCTTTATATCCTAAGGATCTCGAGCTTTAAGTACCTCTACTTGGGTGTAGGTAAGAGCTGCTAGGCTGTGCTGGAAAAGCCACACTCATCGGAAGCGCTTTCACGTGTGGTAGCACCAGCCACTCAGCAGTCTCTGGTTCGATCGAAAATAAAAGCCGCCACTCGCACGCATTACTGCATGCTGCACGACGGGCATCCGAATCGTTTGAGATAGAAGAGGCTGTGTAACGAGGCTGTGTAATAAAGACCGGTAAAAAGGATGCGACTCTGTGGTACGTACGCTCATGTATGTATTCAAGCGGCACAGTCGGCATTCAAGATTGCCCCACGTTCTCGTCCCGATCACGTCACACGCGCGAAATTTGGCGACAACAAACCGAACAGTCGATTAACGTCTGCATTACCTATGTTCGATTACAGTGAGATGCAAGATCATCCGTTTCCAAGCGTGAAGAACGCTCGTCTCTTCTCCCTCGCCTCCTGCTCTGAAGACGTGCCTTCGTTCTTGGGCCGTCCGCGCTTGCCCTTCTTGGAAATCGTCTTGGAGACACTAGACTGCTTCTCGAAAGCTGCCGGTGGGGGCGGCAGCGGTGTTGTAGACTTGACAACCTCCTTGATAGTCTGTTTGGAAAGGCAAAAGTCTATATGCGCATTGAAGCTTGCATCGTCGGGCGCCTGCGGGATGGAGCAGATGGGGCATCGCCATTGTGGTTCGGCTGGCAGCTGTTCATCCTGCTGTTGCTCCTGTTCCTGAGACAGCTTCTCTAGCTCGTTCATTTCGTTATTTCGTTCTTGTCGTGCGGCTTCCTCGAACTCTTCCTCAGGCCATGTCTCCCATGCTCCTTCGTCTTTGGAGGTAGGCGTCTTAGTGGTGGATGAAGATGTCTTGGCTGCGCGGCCGAAGAAGTCGATTCCAGGCTTCTTCGTGCTGATGATGTGCGTAGCTCGTAAACCCATTAAGCGTAGTTTCATGTTCGGTATCTCTTTCATGAGCTTCTCTAGCATTGGTAGGCTGTATTTGAAGAGGTCGTCTGCTTTGTGTATGGCAAAAGGTGGTGTCGTCTGTCGCGTGTGTACTTCGTAGGTGTGGAGCTTGATCTTTATACAGAGCGTTCTTCCTTTGTACTCGGTGCGTTTGAGATCCCCTTCTAATTCTTCAGCGATATGCCGAAGCTTGTCACGCAGGGCATCGCGGCCCTGTAGCTCTCTGAAGGTGGTCTCAGTGCCGACGCTCTTGCGTTCATGATCTTCCGCTGGCTTAATGACGGTACGCCCTAGGCCCAGATAGCACTGCATCAAGAATTGAAATGCTTTCTGCCCGAATAGCTTTGCCATGTATGCTCGATGTGCGTATATGTCTCCGCATGTCTTGACGCCTATGGCATCCAGCTCTCGTTCGAAGACGCGACCGATACCGTTGACCTTTCGCGTAGGCAGGGTCTTCATGAACTCCATGATCGTCTGCCTGTCGCTGGCAAGCAGGAACTGCCCGTTTGGCTTGTTCTGATTTGAGCAAATCTTGGCGAGTTTAGCATTGGCGGCGATGCCAGCGGAGACGGTGATCTTGGCTCTCGCAAAGACGTCTGCGCGCAGCTGGCTCACAGCTTCCTCGGGTGTCATGTGGTGCTCCTGGCAGTATTCAGTCAGATTGAGGTACGCCTCGTCGCAACTCGCACTTTGGAAGTCGGGATCGTATAGCGCCAGTACTTCGCGGACCTCTTCTGCCTTGGCCATGTATTTCGCAAAGTTCATAGGAACGCAGATGAGCTGTGGACATAGCTTCATGGCGACAAAGCCAGCCATGCCGGAGCGACAGCCGAACTTGCGTGCATGATAGTTGCAGGTTGTCAGCACGCCCTTGCCGACGGCGAACGGAACGTCTTTCAGCTCCGGGCGATCCAGCTCTTCGACTGCCGCATAGAAAGCATCGCAGTCGAGGTGTACAATGACCTGGCTCAGGTCCCTACTCAGCTCCAGCTCAGCGATGTAGTCATCAGCTCTGCGTTGGTCGGAGGTCAAGTCGATCTTCTCCAGCTGGCGTCTCTTGTCCAAAATCTTGTTGATCTTCTCGGTGAGGTTCTTGTCCTTGACCTCCTCATTGTTGAAGAACTTGGAGCCCTTGGACGCGTTGTAGATGACTTCAGAGACCTTCGATTGGTCTACACTGTCTTGGCCAGCTTTGGTGAGCGACGGGCCGAGGAGGTGGTACTTTAGGGAGTCGTGCTCGGTGGACGTGGTTCGGGCAGGCTGTGGCCGCTCAGGTATATCTCGGGAGGATTCATCTCCTTCGGCGGAGGTCATGGTGGTTGCGGTGGCCACTCGAGGCAGGTTGGACGCGTCGTGACTACGGTGACTGGGTGCATGCTGGGGCACGTGTGCGCGACGGGGCTGCGCGCATGATGGTGGTGAATGGGCGGACCCTGCATCGCTCATGGTAGGTGGGGGGTCATTTTGTGAGGGCGACAGGAGGCCCCATAAAAACGCGAGATGAGGCCCTCTCGAGGTCATGACGCGCTTTCACGTCTACTCCCCACTCGGCCTAGCGGCGTTTGAAAGCCTCCAGGATCACTCAGGGCCACCAAAGTTACTTCATCTCGCACCAACACAGACGCCTCCCCACCTGAACCCTTCTCCTGCTCCTGTCTGGCCCCCGACCATGGACTGGACGCCAACCATCTGCACTCCTCCACCGCTGGCATTGTAGAAGTGGGGCAATACACGTAGAGCCGTGCTGTATGACCTGCAGACATCCGACACGCTACTAGCGTCCATCAACACACCATCGTCAACACCGCCATTACCCCCCGAGCCGCGCCCATTGCCCCCCGGCAAGGCCATGATCTCCCTCCGCATCCGCAGTATAACACCACAACTATAGCCGCACTCACCAGAGGATGCCCATCGAACGAACCGACCGAAATAACCCACGGCCGCTGAAGCCGACGCTCGCCAGCACCCGAACC